CACCATTGGGAAAGCTTAATGTTTTGTTTAATACAAAAAACAGGGAAAGGCTTGAAAAACACTGAGAGTTGAGACTCAGGGTGCAGGGTGAGGGTCTCAGTGCAGGTATTCAGGCTCCATTGAATCCCCCTCTGGTTCTTGTGCTGAAAGAGGGATAAACAGACAGGAGAAAGGGTTATACACACCTATATAGCACACCTATTGGATGGGAAATTGCCTTGGGGAGATAAGGTGTGGTCTTTGTTCCCAACTGAAGTTATGGAACTTTATTATTTGTGAGTTTAACAAAGTATGACAAATGGCATCAGTAACATATGTGATATGAATTTCTATAAAGTTGTCTCACATTCTTGGTCATATTTTATATACAGTATGTAATGAGTATAACATGTCCAGTAAGTATAAAGTGTTTCCTAATACTGTGTATTCAACCACTATGGAATATGTATGTGGGCAGACAAAACTGAGTTGTTCTGTGTGTGAAGTAACCTCAAGTCACTCCGCAGGCACATTTTGATGCAGACCAGTTTGTCAAGACAAAAAAGGGCAAGACTAGGCTGAGAGCAGAGGCTATACCCACCATCTTCGTGCATCGCCCTGTGGTCAAAAAGAGAAGGGCCCCTGCACCACGATTCACCCCGGGACCTGTATCTACAAAGCCCATAGCTCATGATCACAGCTATAGTGTGAAAGGTGACACAGGTATAATAAGTATGAACTCTTAGTAACAAAAGTAATATTTCTTATTTTTAAGTGGTATAATATTTTAAATGTTCGAACATTTACAGTGCCATGTCTTCTACTTACATTAGTCTCAAAGATTGAGGGAAGAAGGGAAGGGATCACTGCCCTCCACCTGCCAGAGGAGCGCAAACAACAAAAACAAGCAAGGTGTCCCGTCATGTACCTGGAAGTTTGGTTTGGCAAAATGGAGTAAGAGAGGGACTTGAAAAAACCTTGGTGGCTGTCTACTCATGTTGTTACAGTTGTCTTGGTTACAGCTCTCAAGTTTTTTTTTGTGCCATTTCCACATCTTTAGAAAATATGAAACAATTGAAGTGAAATCAACCTCTTCTCTGGACAACAAACTTTGATTTCTCTGTCTTGTGAGTTTGCAGTCTTGCAGTTTTACTCCTCCACCTGTAACATCACTGCCATACAGTAGGTTACTAACAAGATTACTTATATAATACAGTGATATAATACATGTTTAGTATGCTTACTTATATAAAACAGTAGTATTAAACTTACCTTGTGTTTTCACTCTCACTTAAGTCCCTCTCCCTTTGCCATCAATCCGAAATCAGCTGAGCTGCACCATTATACACACAGGTAATAATCAACATAATCACAAGGACACAATATGGCTCTGCTAAAAACACTCACTCTTACACGCACCAAAGTTATAGTTATCTAATATTTAACTCCCTCCACCCCCGCATACAATCCCGTTTAGAAGCCCCTCTTCTCTAATTCAACAACGTTGGACCAAATAGACATTAAGAGAACGGCATTTACAATTAAAAGGCTGTTCAACGTGTGTTGCTAACTTGCTTCGGTATCCTAGCTTGATCTGTTATCTGTAAACGTTCCCTAAATCTACTAATTTAGGGATAATCCACTGACATCCTTTAATACACATGTTAATTTGAATCAGATGTACTGATAATATCCGCAATATAAATCTTTAAACTTCTTCTTACCTTTAAAAGTCCGTCACGAACGGTCTATTATGCTGCAACTCCACAGCTCTGCTAGCCTTGGCGCTAACTTCCGGGGAACGATTGAGAGGCTCCAAGATCCGCCATTGCTGTAAAAAAGTGGTCCATTGGAGTGAACGGAGATGTCATAACTCTTCTATTATATGGCTCTGGATGGAGGTAAGTATCCCTGAATAAATTAACTATTTGTTTTTGCTGCGGTTTAAAATGTGTTGATTGAAAGTAAAACTACATTTGTGTTGCTTCAAAATAGTAGGATTGCTGTATAAGCAAAGTCCTGAAAACTTTAGGAAAGTCTTATTTGCTGTCGTCTCCATACTTGCCAACCCTCCCGATTTTCGCGGGAGACTCCCGATTTCATTACCCTCTCCCGGTTTCCTCCCATGGTCATATTTCTCCCGCATTTCTCCCGATTTCTGACATAATCAGATTTACTCAGGACTGTTTAATACAGCTACACCATTGTTTGGTTTCCATGGTAGCACGTCACTTTAGCAGCGCGCGCAACTCAAAGTCTTGACATGCTCCCGTTTTCTGAGGTCTCAAGGTTGGCAAGTATGGTCGTATCCCTGAATAAATTAACTATTTGTTTTTGCTGCGGTTTAAAATGTGTTGATTTTAAGTAAAACTACATTTGTGTTGCTTCAAAATAGTAGGATTGCTGTATAAGCAAAGTCCTGAAAACTTAAGGAAAGTCTTTATATTATTTTTGCACTACTTGAGAACTAATAACTATACTATGTAATAGTAGGATTGCTGTATAAGCAAAGTCCTGAAAAAACTGCATAAACTATATTTCAATTCGATTTTTACAAAATAAATGTATATGCAGCTTATTTTATTCCTGCCTATTGCCTAACCATTTTGTTTGTGTTTATTTTCTTTGACCAGAAACACATCACACACTTACACCATGATGGGAGCCCAAAAGTGTATATTTGTAATTCTGGCAGTTATCACTGCCCGTTCTGCCAATACCAGGGTCAGAGGCTTCAGGTGGAATACCATGCCAAAAGCCATTCTTCTGTGAGGCACAGAGGTATAATAAATTGCTCTTTTTAGTGCTGTCTGTATTTTCACATTATTTACAATGAGAGCTTAATGTCTTCAAGCTTATTGACTTTACTATTTTTTCTTGTTTTCAGAGTTCACAATTGTTAAGTGTGGCTTAAGCTGCAGAACAGCAAGCCATTTTCATTGTCTTTATTGCTCACAGACCATAATTAATAGGGGCCAGTTTTTACGGCATGTCTATTCACATGAGCCAAACGCTGTGACTGTAGGGCGACTTACAGCATCTGCCCAGCTCCCCCCACCATCTCACCTGCTCACTGCAGCACCTGCCCAGCTCCCTCTACCATCTCACCAGCTCACTCCAGCACCTGCCCAGCTCACCCCACCATCTCACCTGCTCACTGCAGCACCTGCCCAGCTCACCCCACCATCTCACCTGCTCACTGCAGCACCTGCCCAGCTCCCTACCATCTCACCTGCTCACTGCAGCACCTGCCCAGCTCACCCCACCATCTCACCTGCTCACTGCAGCACCTGCCCAGCTCCCTCTACCATCTCACCAGCTCACTCCAGCACCTGCCCAGCTCACCCCACCATCTCACCTGCTCACTCCAGCACCTGCCCAGCTCACCCCACCATCTCACCTGCTCACTGCAGCACCTGCCCAGCTCCCTACCATCTCACCTGCTCACTGCAGCACCTGCCCAGCTCACCCCACCATCTCACCTGCTCACTCCAGCACCTGCCCAGCTCACCCCACCATCTCACCTGCTCACTGCAGCACCTGCCCAGCTCCCTCTACCATCTCACCTGCTCACTGCAGCACCTGCCCAGCTCCCTCTACCATCTCACCTGCTCACTGCAGCACCTGCCCAGCTCCCCCCACCATCTCACCTGCTCACTGCAGCACCTGCCCAGCTCCCTCTACCATCTCACCTGCTCACTGCAGCACCTGCCCAGCTCCCCCCCACCATCTCACCTGCTCACTGCAGCACCTGCCCAGCTCCCCCCACCATCTCACCTGCTCACTGCAGCACCTGCCCAGCTCCCCCCACCATCTCACCTGCTCACTGCAGCACCTGCCCAGCTCCCCCCACCATCTCACCTGCTCACTGCAGCACCTGCCCAGCTCCCTCTACCATCTCACCTGCTCACTGCAGCACCTGCCCAGCTCCCCCACCATCTCACCTGCTCACTGCAGCACCTGCCCAGCGCCCCCCACCATCTCACCTGCTCACTGCAGCACCTGCCCAGCTCCCCCCACCATCTCACCTGCTCCTTGCTCCCCGTCATCCTGCTCCTGAAAAGCGACATAGGCCTAAAAAAACTGTAAATTGTCCACACTGCAATCTAAAATTAAACAAGAACAATTATAAAACACATGTGCGTCGCAAGCACACAACATATTTTGAAACGGTCTCCAAGGAAAGACATCTGCAAAGCCAGTGTATTGATGAACACAATGGTGTGTTTGCAGTGGAGAAGACATTTTCAGGCCCAGCAACACCAATACACGTCATTAAAAATACTTGGGGACCAACACATAAAGTCATGTGCGAGGTTCATCTATGTGAACTCAATGCTGACTTTGCCCGAAGAAGTGGTATGCTGCCTTATGAATGTCAGCATTTGCAATCATTGCTGTACTGCCCACCTGCACGCAACAAACCATTAACTTTGCAAAAGGAATCATTGGCTACAATGGTTCAGGAGAAATGGTTGTATATATAATAATGTATACAAATGTATACTGCTTTCAGCATGCTATGCACTCCATTATTGCTCATAGTTTGAGACATGCTGTGATTTATTTATATCCAAAACAACATTCACGGAGGAATATTATTTGTCAATGAACACCATAGCATCACAACAACATCATATAGTATTTCTTTATTTACAGTACGCATTTTACATTGTGGCAAGAGCCCAATTTGATTTCAATGAGGTATGTATAAATAAGGGTTTCATATTTCAGTTTTTCATTGATATTTTTCATTGATATACAAGACTTTTCAGGACATGTGTTGTTGACCCATCTGGTTGTGTGCTTTTTATATTCCAAGACAAACATGCAGCAAATTAGGCACTGGTGGTAACCCTAGTTCTCCTGAAAAACTTTCCCATGCCGTATGTTTCTTTAATTTTACAATTTACATTTGCATTCTTGAAACTATTTCTTACACTGTAACCTGACTATATCATTTTTAATTAATATTTTTAATGTTTGTCTTTCATTCACCAAGGTCTGAACAAGAGAGGTTGCAAGACTGCAAGAGGCGACGGGAGGAAAAGGCAATGCAGGTAGAAGTTGTTGAATCACAAATGATAAAGTCTTGAACCAGTGTGAGTGTTAAACATGTAACCTGTCTTTGTCAAATATATTTCAGGATGAAGAGGTTCCACAAAAGAAGCAGGCCATAATTTGAATGCGTCATGAGTGAGCGCTGCTGGGGGGGAACTGTTACAATCTGTATTAGGTTCACTAATGCCTCAAAATGTAATAGTTGTCAGAATCTGTCTGTGTTTTATTTTGTCCTGTCCCTGTCTCTGTGTTCAATAAAATTGAAAGTCCTGAATTAAATGTACTCGAAGTATCAAAAGTAGAAGTACATGTGGAATGGCTCTGTTCACAGTATTATATTACCATTGATATTATCCTGTCAATTCTATCAATTTGTCAATACGATGGCACTTTTTTAATATATTTTTTTAAATACTGGTAGGAAATAATGTGATATGATTTCATTTATATCACATGTTTTTCAGTAAAAAGTGAGTAAATATACAATATTGCCTCTGAAATTAAAATTAAAAAGTTAAAAAACAAATGAAGGCCCTTTCTTGAAGTCATAACTCAAATAATTGATGCAATTAACATGCAAATAGACATCAAAATATGCTTTGAAGGCTGTTAATGTGTTTAATTTGAGTTTTACATTTTTAAATGCCGTTGCCATGGCGACAGATCACTCGCCATCATCATTGGTATCATTATATATATTAATATGTTAAAATAGTTAATACTCTGACGCTATGATTAACAGAACAGAACTGTGAAGCTCGTCACGTGTCTCAAAGGTATATATATATATTTATATTAATATGTTAAAATAGTTAATACTCTGACGCTATGATTAACAGAACAGAACTGTGAAGCTCGTCACGTGCCTCAAAGGTTGAGAAGGAGGGGCCGTTAGTCACGTGCCTCAAAGGTTGAGAAGGAGGGGCCGTTAGTCACGTGCCTCAAAGGTTGAGAAGGAGGGGCTTGAGGTACTGCGCACTGCAGTGAGGGGTACTACTCACAGTCGAGCCGTTAGAGGCCGACTCCGCCTACTAAGGGCTTCACGGCAACTGCAGAATCCTATGGGTGACGTCACGGACACTACGTCCATTTATATATACAGTCTATGGTTGCACCACAGGTTTCATTTGCAATGCGCATGCGTGGATGCAACGGCGACGCACATTTTGCCATGATCAATCAAATTATTGCACAAACCTTTCTAAACATCACACATTTGATGAGGATCCTGCCCTGAATACATATATAGGCCTATTTTCAATCATAGTGCCCCCTAGTGGCCACAGGAATTTACTGCTGCCAGACTTTAGCTTACAGCTCTCAGCAGGTTAATCAGATCACCTTCATGTTTGGTCAGCTTAATGTCAAGACTTGTTTTCCTTGCCAGACTTGTATGGCTCCGAGGAGTGTGTGGATTTGAGTATATTACTTTTCTTTGGTCAAACCAGAGGGTAGTAACTAACACCAGTGTGAGTGTTTTTGGGAAATGATTACCATTCTGGCCAATGTTAAAGGGGGGTTGCCAAATCCGGTAGCCATAACACCAGATCTTCAAGATTTAGAAGCCACCCAACGAACGACTCGACGCCCGACGGCCGGCTGGCTAGCATAGCCAGTTTAACCAACCCAGAACAAAGGACCGATGGCATGCTAGCTAACGTTGCTAGCAGAGCTACACAGACTACCATTGATCTCATTCTGACCTCTGACAGGTCCGGGATCTCCAGTAAAGGGGTTATAGCATGCGGGTTAAGCGATCATTATATGATATTCTGTACCCGCAAAAAGCTAAAACAAAAGGCCGGCTGTCACAAAACAGTCACAACTAGAGACCTCAAAACCTACTCTAGCGAGGCCTTTAACCTAGAACTGGAGAGCCTGGACTGGTCAGAGGAGCTCAGTGGTACACTGGTTGAAGAAACATGGCTTGGTTTCAAAACGAAATTCTCATCAGTACTAAACGACAAGGCCCCCCTAAGAACCACCAGGGTAAAAAATCGCGCTGAGCCATGGATGCACTCCGAAATATTGACCGCTATAAAACCAGAGACAAAAAATGCTCTGAGTTTCGTAAAAGTCAGTCAAAGCTTACCAAAAGCTTGAGCAGTGAAGCACACGTGACTGAACTCAAACTGCAAATTAAATTACGTAAACTCCATGATCAAAACTGCAAAAAATTATTTCATCAATAACAAAACTGAGGAAAACTAAAATAAACCCAGTGAACTTTGGAAATTACTCAATAGTCAACTAGGCTGCAGTAAAAAAACTTAAAACCAGATTTTCAAACATAAACATAAAGACAGATAACACGCTCATCACAGACAAGCCAATTACTTAAACATTTTCTTCACAAACATAGCCACAACACTGGTAAATAAACTACCCTCCCACTCAGGGCATTTTGGGGTAGAACACATCCTAGCCTACTACAATAACCTAGGGGTCCGCAAAGATGATTTCAAACTAGTAATGGTAACAACAGCTGAGGTACACAAAAAACTGAGCGCCCTCCAACCAAACAAGGCCACTGGCCATGACAATATACCCTCCAAATTCATCAGAGACTCAGCAGCCGCCATCACCCCAGTCATCACACACATAATAAACCTCTCCATAAAACAGGGACACGTACCCAAAGACTTCAAAATTGCGAGAGTAGAAAAAGGGCAGCAAATTGGACCCAGGCACTAACCGCCCCGTTTCTATTCTTACCTCCATCTCGAAAATCATGGAAAAAATAGTATACGAACAGGTCGAAAAGTACCTCGCGGAAAAAAAAATCTAATTTACGAATTCCAATCTGGCTTCAGAACATCCCACTCCACTGACACATGCCTTCTCTATTTGAACGACCACATCAAACAAGAGGTGGACGCGGGCAAATACTGCGGCATGGTCATGCTGGACCTACAAAAGGCCTTTGACACTGTCAATCACTCCATTCTGATTGACAAGCTAAAAGCAATTGGTTTTGATAGTCTATCAGTGAGCTGGATGCAATCCTGGAGGGGAGAGAACAGATGGTGGAGGTAAATGGTACTCTGTCCCCCCCCTCCCAGTGAGCTGTCGTGTTCCACAAGGAAGCATACTAGGACCGTTACTGTTCCAAATGTATGCAAATGACATGTCGTCAGCTTGTGACTGAAACTTGTTCCTGTTCGCGGACGACTCAGCCCTGCTGGTCTCTGACAGGAACAAGTTGCAGGTTGAAAAAACCCTCAGCTCGAAACTCGGCAGAATCTGCACCTGGCTCGCCGATAACAAACTATCATTACACCTGGGTAAAACAGAGTCCATTCTCTTCGGTTCAAAAAACAAACTCAGCAAGACCGACGGCTTCTCAGTTACAGTGGGTGACAATATTGTTGTGAACCGAGACACAGGACGCAGGACCCAAAAGCAGGACTCGGAGACAGTTGTCCAAAAATAGAATGTTCTTTAATAACAAAAACTAAATCGTACGTTTCAAAAAATAGAAAGTAGTTAAACAGCCAAAACTAAGTTGTACAGCAACACAAAAACTCACTTGGCAAAAGGTCTAATTCCTAAGGTAGGTATCAGGCAGAGATGGGGACTCGAGTCTGTGACTCGGACTCGAGTCGCACTTAAGTCGAACACACAGAGACTTCAGACTTGACTTTGGACTCGACTTGGACTCGTGTTTTGGGACTCGTGAACAATCATTATGTTTTCTATTTTTGGCGTATTAAAGGTGGGGTAGGTAAGTTTGAGAAACCAGCTCGAGATCGCTAGAATTTGAAAATACACAACCGGAGAAAATCTGCCACTTCCTCACAGAGCCCCTCCTCCAACACACACGAACGCGCACATGACCAATGAGGGCACGAGATAAGTTTGTGCCCCGATGGAAGGCTGACAGGCAGGTAGGCCATCCAGTTATTTTAGCCGGGCCGGCTATCGGGATGTTAAGAGCATTCCATGGAATATAACAAAAAGTGTATCTCGAGCCGGTTTCTCAAACTTACCTACCCCACCTTTAACATTAACATTAACATCATGGTAACACCATGGCGACCGGCGGCACACCTGCAGCTGTACCGCTTGTAATTAGGTTCAACTATAAAAACTTCGAACAAAACGCCGGCGGCACCAACAAAAGGAGCGCACACTGCAAAGTCTGCAATATTAAAATCAAGGATGCTGGTGCAACAACGTCAAATTTCATCAGGCACTTGAAAACTCACCCGGAGAGGTCAGTCACATTAACGCATATGGACGGTTAGCAAACATGTTTAGCTCAGCATCAGCTATGTAATATTAACTTAGCTTGCTACTAGCTTTGTAACTGAATATTTGAAAAGATGAGTGAATGTTTGCTTGTCACACTTGTTTGCGTTGAGTGGCGTTGACATCCAACTCTTGACATGACATAAAAAAGGTCAGTAACGTTAATCATTACGTTCCGCTGCCACCATCTACTGGCTAACGTTAAACGTAGAAAATACATAGTTACATACATAAATACATCTGTCGGTTTATAGGCAGGTTACAGGTTTATTGTTGACCACGTAACGTTAATGTTACAGGTTTATCAGGTTACCATTACACTGGGTTTGAGTGAGAGGATAGAGGAATATGTTTATTTATAGTAGACTTAAAATATGTAATTAGAGACCCAGTGTAATTAAACAATACGGTTGCAGAGGTCAAATTTTAACATTTTTGTCCACTGGCCAAATGGCTAGCCTAGTGAATGTTGAAATGTTACCAGCCACTCAATATATTGCCATTGTTATTTTTGGCTGGTGCGTGCAACATACAGTACCAGCCACTTGCATGATTTACCAGCATTTGGCTGGTAAATGGTGTTAATGGTAGATATCTCTTTTGGAACAGGTCATGTTTTAATATCACCAGTTCAGTATATTTCAGATAATATTGCAGCAATAGTTTTTTAGTTGCAAATGGCACAGAACAAATGTTTACTTTTAAGTACTTTTAAGTACTTTTAACACAGTTTCCCTGCGGGGGATTAATAAAGTATTTGTGATTCTGATTCTGAAGTGTTTTGCTTATAAGTTGTTTGCATTTAGCTAAAGTGTGATGTTTTTCCTCATATTGCATTGCAATAGCCTGTTTAAAGTGATCATATAACAAACAACTAATCAGTACTGATACTGTATGCTAATAGATATAGGAGTGATAAATAATAATACAGTAAATGCTTTGAATTTCTTAGATATAGCTGTGCAGTATTCTTAACAGACTGGATAGCAGCAGACAATAGAAGGCTTATTACAACCAGAAGAGACATG